TCCTGACCGTATTGATGGAGACCAGGGTCCGATGTGAATTCCCACACCCACACTGCTCATTCATCCCGTCAGTCCTTGTTCGTTGCAGATGAAGGAGCGCGTCAGTGAGGTCGCGTTTGGCAAGCTGCCAGCCCGTTCTCCACCAGTTACTGAGGCTAGTAAGCGATATCATTACGTAAGACGAGCTGGCACCCGCAGTTTCATTTCCTCTTGACACGCCCCCTCATCCGCGGTGAACAAGACTGTAGTCTGTGGGGTACACTTCACGAGCAAAGATTCTCTTTCTGCTCTCTTCCTGCAAACGGTTCTACCTCAGGTGTAACCCTAGCCATGATTTATTCGCAAAGAAAGGGAAACTGGCAACTCAACAAAAGTAGGAAAACCAAACAGTACCTCGACGCTTCGGTGGCTTCACAAATAGTATTGAGAATGTTAGCCTTGACAAAGTTTTTGTCATCGTCCGACAAGCATCTCTGTTCAGCCACGTCTTCTTCAGAATCGCTATCGTCACCAAGCTGAAGAAGGGCGAATATGCACTCTGATTCAGCCTTAACTTCACTATTTCTCGAGAAAACACGACCTCCCAATAGCGACTGATGGACATTTTGAAGAAAATAGCAGCCGATTGGCGAACCGGTTCAGGTACAGTACCATCTGCAATGATGCTCAGCAACTCTGGCACAAATCCCGATTGTTTAGAACACTGAAACAGATCGGATTCTTTCAAGAGGCAGAAACAAACACAATAAAGAGGCCGAAAAGCGGTGACACAATCTTTCACTCAACTATACAATCCAAGCAAAGTCTATGCCTATAATATGAAGGTCACAAACACACACTCATTACCCTTCGGCTAAACCGAAAAAATCAAGCAATTCAATCAATATTCAAAGAAAGTGCAATTGTTTAAGGAAAAGCACAACACAAGAGTTGCCAATCAACCATAGTGGAACACTTCACTTATTTATTAACTATTGTGCAGAAGGAATGAAAATAAAGTCATAAACTGCATGACATTATCTCTATTGCAACTTTATCCCACCCACGCCAAATAGGCCTTCCACCTCTCGCGGGGGGGGAGAAAGAAAGAAAGAAAGAAAAAAAGAGAAGAGAGAAGAGAGACAGAGAGAGAGAGAGAGAGAGAGAGAGGGAGGATAGGTAATGTTCGAATAACTGGCCACCAGAGCGTTTAGTGAGTACAAAAACTCCCTCGACTTTTGCAAAATCATTGTGTGCAACAATCAATTTTTACAGCCACCACGACTCTCAGTGGAAGTAGAATGCACGGCGCACCCCGAAAGGACTTGACAGCGTCAAAAAAGCAATTTTGGTTCTTTCAGATTATACCTCTTTCACAGACATTGAGAAGGCAGCTTTCACTCAAAAAAAACAAAAAAATAAGATAACCAGTTAGTAATCACCAGCAAGCAATGCAGACTATCTATAGAGACAATGCTACTCTTTCAAAGCTACATAAAGACACATTCCGCGATTGCGGATCGCGGTCAATACGGGAAGGGTGAAAACATTAATTTGAAGAGGTTAACTGACTAAGGCGAGCAGAGGTGAAGTAGTGGTAAGTGGCACGCTTACCACGCGCACGGTCAAAGGGTCAAATCCTGGATCGGCTCCCGCAGGCCAACCAAGTCTCCTACCCTTCGGGGACGGTGGAAGTGGTACCAGATTCGTCTGACTTGTACATCGGCTGGCCCCGCAAGTCATTGTATAGGCCACATCGCATTCAATAAGCCACTACGATTCTGAATGGAAGTAGAATGCGTGCCGCATCCCACAAAGGGATTGATCAACGGCGAAGACTTTATCCTTTTTTTCAACTGACTGAACAGCGAGAAAAAAAAACTGGAAAAATCGCCGAATATGCGCCTAATGACCCGCGGCTGATTGAGCACTGGACGATTCTAGGGTGAAGCGATAGACGCAGAGACACTATCACAATGCTAGAAAACTCGCAACGCCACAGTCGTGGACATTGACATTCGGAGTAGACGGTGCCGTTTCTTTCGGACCATATCAGGCCCTCAAAGGCAGTTGACATAATGATTTGGTGCTCGGCCTAAAATGCTAGTAGGGCGCTATATAGTGGGGAAATGGCGAACGGAGTGAAACGGTCAAAATCCTGCGAAGAAAGAGCCTCCGTTCTCAATGACTTAAAATCAATTTTGGACGAGTTTCCCGTAGGCATCTTGCCAATAACCGCTACCGAAGATACGGCTGCATATGTGTACCCATATATGCATGCAGCATCACGGCCGCTTCATACCAATCCCTTCGCTTCATAATTTGCTTAGCAAATGAATGAATACGAGCGTCAGGAACGGTCGTCCATTTTGGGTGGGCGGGCGTGGTGGGCGTTGGGTCGGTATGTTGCGGCTTGATAGGGCCCTTATAAGGGACACCTTCTTTGGAAGGCGCTATGCAGCGCCTGCTCAGGGTCGCGGAATTCCGTCCTGCCAGGCGTATTAATCCTACTCGTCCTGGAGGATTTAGTGCCAATCTGCCTTTAAAGCCTACGCCACGCATGTTCGTGGCTGCGGACATCCTCCACTAATACACGAAAACAATCCGCAAACCGCAAAATGTGCTTTCAACACTGAAGAACTATCCACACTACATCTATCTTCTACATTAAACTAAGAAGTAACTCAAAAACCACCTGTCACATTATACGATTTAGCCCAAAGCTTCGAGCGACGGAATGTCCAGCTAATGTCAAAAAGACCAGGCTTCTTTACTCAGTTCATACTAGTACCTGACTTCACTTACAGTTGTTTGGAATACACAGTTGTGTTCCCCGCTTAATGGAACTTGTCAGTGAGTATGAGTCCTGGCATGACGGTAAACCGTTCTCCACCAGTTGAAGCAGATAAGCGGCGAAAATTGGTGGAAAACAACTAAGCGAACGATGATATGGTAGTACTGTCGCTTGCTCGCCTCAACAGCTCGTGGAAAACGGGTTCGGCGGCGCGCCAAGCCCATCCCGCCTGACACGCCCCTTCCATCCTCAGCGAACAAGGCTGCATGTATGAGTTTGATGACTTGATGATTTAATCGCAGCCTCAGCTTCATTACTGAACATCTTCCTGTGAACCAATTTTGTAATTCCTTGTTCCTACATTCAGTACAGTGCCACAACTGAAAGCTCACGACTGCATTCACAGCAGGTTCCACTGACTCGAGCATTTCCCTGACGAACAGTACCGGTGACATACATCGTCGCTTCCATCGGTAATCATCTCTTGCAAAATTCCCATCCTCATCCATCCCCCATATCGAGTGGAGGAACCAGGCCTAATGCAGACGGGCATCTGCTCCGAATTTGTGTAAGTAGACGAGATAACAACTACTTTCTAAGACTTCTTATGCTTATGTAATTCGATTTTGGAGTGACGACAACGCATAACTCAGGAAAAAGCGAATGATCCCCGAAGAACACGTCCTTCTGAATGTAGAGCGCTCGTCCGCATCCATCTGCCGCTGCCATCAATGTGTCATGTGAAAGCATTCCTGCGTACATACATTTTGGCACGACGCCAGCATATTTCCACCAGTCGCTGGCACTATGAGGCGGACAGCCTTTAATAGAAATCGGCTGGCGCCGTGCCAAAACGTGTTTAAAAGTATGCCTCCATCTAAAATTGTAATAAGCTCCTGCACATCCATCGATTGATCTAGAGACCATACCTTTGGATAGTTTTGTAAGCACACGCAGAGTCCAAAAAGTAGAACAGGAGGACGCTTTAGAAGCTGAGCTTGTCTAATTTTGCAGATTCCAACATTGCAGATGTCAAAAGGTGTGGGCAGCACGTAGTAACACTTCTACCAGTTCATATTGACCACTGATATTGAAAGCAGGCGCAAGATTGCTGCAGGCAGGCGACTATTGCCAACGTACTGGTGGAAGGACTGCGAGAGGGGGTTTGGCCAAACTCCACTGGTAATGAGACCTTAAACCAATGACGTTGACAAAACGCCCGCCCCCAGCCATTTACCTTTGAATGACTAATATTTGTAAACAATAACGCTAGCGGTCTACGGACAACTTGAACTCAATCCCTTTGAACGCGTCGATCTTCTCTTTTTCTCTGCACTCTCTCGTCGCATGGCACTCTATGGCCGTTGTGACTTCGCTCACTCCAGCTTTTCACCGACTATAAGTAGCTCACCCACCCCGGAGTCCCTCCCCTTGAAAAATCCCGTTTCCTGGCTCGCCATACGTTTTTTGCACGTTTCGATGCTTTGGCAGCCGCTGCCCTCTATCCGTCTGCGTCACAGGGTTTCGTAACAGGACCATGCACAAAAGTTCAAGATGTCACGTAACCATTTGTAACCATGTAAAATTTCTACTAATGCACATGTCAAAACATGATTTGTTTGAACAGGATTTGTTAGTAAACCTTCAGTTTATTGGTGTCATTAAACATTCAGCTTCAGAGTTCATAGAAATACATTCGATTCATAGAAAACCAACGACAAGAAAGCCGTAATCCCAGAGACGCGAGAAATATGGAGCACGTCATGATATTCTACCCGAATGAATAAACAGCTCAACTTGAAAAAAAATGCAATAGACCTCTAATAGAGATAGAGAAGATAGAAGTGGTTAACGAGCACACATTTCGGCTTGTTCATAGTATTTGTTAGCTAGTTTACCCTTCATGGCCTCAATAGCCACTTCGGCAGCTTCCGTGTACAAGTTGTAGGCCCTCTCAAAGTCCTGGGCCAAGCCGCATCCTCCTTCCTGGTACATTTGAGCTATCTTTGCCAATACCTCATATCGTGGAAGTGCCGCTCCTTCACTGCTATCATCATCATTGAAGCCAACAAGTTTCTCGTACCACTTTATTGCATCCGGATAGCTCGGCTGGACCGTTGGCACCCATCCTTCCGTCCAGTTTCGAAAGCTTCCGCAACGAACAGCATAGCGCCACGGTCTCCCATTTCAGCTGCTGTTAAGCATCAATTCAAAAGCGAATTCTTCATTATCCGAAACTATTCCATCATCGCCATCGCCATCGTCGTCGTCCTTCGTCCAAATTCTCGTCATCACCGATATCTTTCAGAAGATCATGGGGCAACTTGTAAGCCATTTGAGCAACAGTAATTATAGCCTCCAAAACACCACATCGTCTGGCAATGTCAAGATGGAAAAGAGCAGACTCCTTGTCATACTTCACCGTCGGTTCCTTTGAACACCTGTCCACATCAGTCTCGCCCAGCGCTATCCGTTTGGCATCGTTGTCTTCTTCTACTAAAAACCGTCCTAGCTCGTGATATCGTGCGAGGTCGAGATGAATTTGGCCTAAAATCGAGGCGTGTTGTGTAAGCCGCAATGCTTCAGCTGCCAATTTCTGTAATTCCATAGCAGACAGGATTCCAGCAGGTATGGATTTCTTTCGTGCTATCGACCAGAATTCTTCTTTTTCCGTGTCACGGGTCATTCGCGATGAACTTCCTAATGAACTGGATCCTAAAGAGCTGCCGAAACTATCTGAACGTGAACGTTCCACACTGAGTGAATGAAAGCCGACTTTTCGAATCGGACATGCCTTTGTTTCTTCGTCACCAACATCTTCATCGTCAACAACGACGTCAATAAACGCTTCACACGACACATCAGCGGTGGCCCGAGCCAAGCATTCCTCACAAATACAGTCGTCATCGTGACCTTTACCATCATCAGAATGTGTTTCAAATCTGAAGCCGCATCCGGACGAGTTGCGACTGCGCATTGAAAGCGTCCGTTGTCGAAGACATTCCATTGCATCTTCCTGAATCAGTTCCGGAACGATTGCCGAGCAGGCACTTGCCTGACGAGAGAATACGGTAGATTGATTGCACGAGTTTGTAGACGAGCCATTGAGTAATGCAGATCGTTCCATATCCGATAAGTCAAATTCCGTTAAACAAAGCGAGTGACAAATATCGTTACATAGGTGAGAATGAAAAAATAAAGCCATTCCCCGTGTTCCTAGATTGCCATCACCGTAGTCCGTTCCAACAACTGTATGAATCTGTGGGTCCGTATAAAGGTCTCCAACACCTTGAATATCAACAACAATCATTTGGTGACCGGATCTCTCGAATGTGAAATGAGAGAATGCTTGAGGTGTTTTCCGTGCAACTTCAGAAACGAAGCCAGAATTGGAGTTATACTTGATATAGTCACCTTCAATGAAATGTTCCAGATGAAATAACGGTCCTGAAGGCAAATCAATCATTTCCAAAACGCACATCTGCACTATATCGATCTTTTTGGGTGGGTTATATCGATTGAATTCTTCAGCCCACAGTTTGGCGTCCATTTGTAGTTTGACATCTTCGAATAAAACGGATCGATCCACTTCTTGAATATATCGCTTGGCCACATAATTATGTGCATATTTCCAATCACTTAGATGGCTATTTGTTGGAAGTTTTTTTAAACGATAGCATTCACGCATAGCACCACGAGCAAATGGTTCAGGGTTAAGACGTACTTCAACTATATCTTCAGTCCAAGTTTTTCTAATAGATGAATAACGATAACGTTTAGCACGCATAATAGGAACATCGCAAATGAAAAAATGCGACCATGGGTCTTGTGTGATTTTACGCGCTTTACGTGCAGCGCGGCGCCATCGATCCATAAGTAACGCAACATGATCACGTTTTGAAGAGTCTTCCATCTTGTTAAATTCGTTCTCCAAGACTCCATCATCGTTCGTGAGTACTCCCAAGTTGCGCCAATCGGCACCATCATTCGATGAGGTAGTGTGACGACGGGGTATTTCGATCCCGACATCTTCATGTGGGCCCAATCGCTGCAACATACACTCCGATTGAGTAGTGCCGACCGACGCAACCTAGTTCTACAATTTAAATCTCACTTAAATCTTAATCTTATCGTCATCTATGACGAATTTCATACCCACCTCATTTAGGAAACTTTCCGCCTTCTTTTCTTCTTCCGGAGTTGTGGTCGCGTGCAACGCTTTGATCACCGAATCGCGATTCATTGCTCTAAAAAAAAACCAAAATCATTAAATAACGCAGTACTACAAACAAAAGTGAAATTGGCAGAATATTGCCGGGCTTTTTTCAGCAGTGCTACGGGTCGCATTATGAGCAAGGATTCAGATATGGATAGGCACAATAGTTTTTTTCTCCCAAACTTCATTAGATTCAAAATCCTGTGATTACAGCTAAATTAGCTACTAATGACCGACTCATTTTCGGCACTTCTTTCGGAGCGCTAGACGAGCCAGGGCACGCCGATCGCGTTGTGATCATTTCCTGAAAAATACGACCCCCTATTCCATCCTCAAATACGACCCCTCCCCCATGCTACCTACCACTTTCCTATATTTTTCCCAACTTCCTACCCAGTGGTTCCACTTCTTCCGGAAAAATGGGAGGGAGGCCTTCAGGATTCAACTGTCATTTCCGACTATCGGAAATAGTAGCCGTACATCTTCGGCGGTCCCTCTCGCAACAACGACCGAATACGATTTCCTCCTTCGCGGCCAAATACGAACGATGGCACAAGGATGGCGTGCCCTGAGGCGGGCACCGTTTTACAGCAGCAGACCTAGTCAAAAAGTTAGGCAAATACGTATAGCCATGATCCCTGTAACTGAGAGGGCATGGGACAGGGCGGGAATCGAAATGCAGCCAGCACACTAACTTTTTGGTTGATTTGGGCCTTTTAGGAAATTCCAATAAAACTGTATAATTGTCGGTGTTCTATAACATTTATACCATGGCTGATCAAAGATTTCGTTTACTATAGTGTTGAGAACGAATGTGAAGCATAACTTCGTAAAAGTAAAGTTACAGAGAGAAGCACCTCATCACAGGGTTCATCGCGGAACATTTGCCTAAGCCGATCGCACGGGCAGTACACTCAGATTCGCTGCGCATGCTGCGACGCGTTTGCGCAGGCTGCGCTTGGCACGCCGCCATATCCATTTCCTGCTAGTTGTTCAAGTGACAACTACTGGCGAAGAACGACTAATGCGGACGACGTGATCCAGTCCTGTGGCTTTCTGGCAGAAAAAAAGGAAAGATTTGGCTGGCGCCGTGCTAGACGCAGCCACGCGACACGCCCCATCTTTGGCAGCGAACCAGACAATAAGTGAAACTGCAACTATTAGGACTAGTCCTCGTCTTCCAGTCCACCTCTGAGAATTTCAGAACGGGCTCCCTATTCGCTAACTTCCGATGCCCATCTCATTCATTCGCACTCCCCCCCCCCCAAAGATGCGCATTTTCTGCTCTTCCGATTCCTGAATTCGGGAAGAAGAGTGGTCGGTATATCTACGGTATCTACGTGAGGCACGGTTGGGTAATTCAGTACAGAAGAAATGCGATTTGCAAAAGTGCAATTTGCCTTTAAAAGTAACGTACCAGGAACATCCAGCAGTACCCAAACCAAGCTCTGTCTTTTATGTGGTAAAAATTAAACCAACGGATCCCATGCAACGAAAATAGTGACCAAAAGCATTTTAGTATTTTAGAAAGTAACACGCAAGTAGGGAATATCAAAGTAATGGACCTTTGTTATATTGTGGACTGCAAGGCAGAAAGCTGAATGAAAAAAGAAAGTCAAGGTATAGTGGGCCCATTTTCCGCGCCACCTCAATCTGAAGGACAGCAAAAATGATAAAAAAATATCTGAGTTATACATCCTCAAAACTAAGGACTTCTACCTAACATTACATGGGGTCAAAACTGCTAAAACGACGCAAACCATGCCTCTCAGAGCGGATTCAGAGAAAAATAAAATAATACATAATTTAATGAAAATTTTGCTAACCTGTTTTAATCCTATGATGATGCCTTGTACTAGTAGGTGAGAAATGAATGGTACCCTAAAAGAAATAAACTTTAATTTTGAAGGAACCAGTGAGAACCATAGCATGAATGAGTTAGGTGTGCAAATCTAGCTGTTTTAGACATTCCCCTCCCTCAAAATCCCTCAAAGCCTTCAACCTTACCCCATTACGTATAGAACCACTATGAACTGAGGTGGCAGAACTCTTAAGTAACCCCTGATAACTTTTATTTTGGCGCAAGAATCAGATTTTGTGACTAACTCGCTATAGAAACGATGCGGCTCAAGAGTATGGACACGTTGACTGCTAAATCTCAGAACTTCATCAAAGCGACTTCGCTACCTTCTCGTTGATAGCTGCACATCGATAAAAATATAGCACTATTGATGACGAGGGTTCGGGGCATCTGTCAACTTGATGTTCTTTCCACCCCCCCCCCCTGGGAGGGTCCAAAGGTGTTTTCTCGTTGCATCTTTTCGCCGAGCATTCGAAGGGAGGAGAATAAGAAGAGGAGAGAGATAAAAAAAAGAAAGGAAGGAAGGGCAGGGAAGGAAAAAGAAAGGAGGAAGAAAGCCTCGCGGTTGACAGTTATCCTGAGGCAATTTTTGGCCACTAAGACTTTACACATTCCAATTTTTATATAAAAAGCAGCCCATTTAGCCCGGAGACCCGCTCTCCTGAAAAAGTTTACCCCGAACTAGCGATATGTTTTTGGCTCCTTTCAACACCTTAGCTGCCGCAGTTCATTACTTCTCTGCGCTGTTGTCACCTGTGATTATGGGAAGGAAAGGAGTTCGGGCCTGACTCAACCACTTCGGACAATTCAGTTGCTCACAAACGGTGAGTGTTACATAAATACCGGGCTCACTCTCTTGAAAACTTCAAGCTACTGTGGCACTGACGCAAAACTGCAGAACATCCCTTCCTGAAGCGCAGCGCAAAAATAGACAAACAAATTTTGAAAACAATATCTGATCTGGCCCCAAACTTGTATAATGCACCTGCATTTCAATAATAACAACAACCTGACGCAAAAACTATTTACCGGCGAGGAAAGAAGATTTTCGGTCATCTCAAGAAAACCGAAAATTATTTACGTTCAACTTAAAAACAAGTTCGAACGAGCACAATAAATAAACTCACCAATATTATGTATGAGACCTCCTCAAATACTAAACGACTGCAAACTGCAAATCGCAGCTTACGAAAGAGACTCTGAAAGATGACCGCTTTGAAAGGATAGCATTAGTTGTAAATACAAACATAAATCGTGACACGAAATCAACGAAATTCGTCAACATTTGACAGAGCAAGATTCCATTGAACAGTGAGAACGTTCCCTTACAATCAAGCTATGATAGACCCATGGGAACGTTTTTCGGGTACGTATCAAGACAATCGTCCAGGCGCCGTGCTTGATCACGCGCTGATAAGCGCGGCAAGCCGCGCGACAACTTGGTCAATAGGCCCTGCTGTTTCCAGGAAAGCAGTAAGTTACAATGGACTCTACGAAACCATGGATTTCAATTAACACACAACCCCAGATGTCTGTACGAAACAAAAGGTAATGCGATCTCTACGCTTGACAACAATGCATTATGGGCGCGACGTCGCGGCCACGCCCACCGGGCCGCTTCCCATAAGCTCCGTTGTCGTGGTATAAAATGCTTTGGGTGCTCTGCCCCAAAACCCACTTCACAGACTGGAATAGCACCTTGCCATAAAATAGATGAATACAATACAATGCACAGAAATACATAATGGCTAAGGTTACTACATAGAGGCTAAGTTAACAGTAACAGAGTTCAGAAAGAATTTACAAACCACGAATTTGTAGTGTGCTGAGGGGCAGATTTCATGGTCAACAAGAAGCGTACGCTCCTTTCACCATGCCGTGACAAAGTACATCACCGTTGTGCAAATCCTATCAACGCGGTCCTATTTGCTCGCTGGATGGAGTGCTCATATTTGGTATCGAAAGATATTTTTACTGTTGGTTTCTTTCCTTACACGAGCTATATACTGGCTCTCTTTTAACAGGCAACGCGACAAAACCAAATTTCTGATAGTGCTGGAAGGACAAGACTGCAAATCCAGGGAAACAGGCAGCTGAAAACTACGGGCGAAATTAAATATGTCGCTTATGAGTGCGCACAACTAGGCATACTATATGACGGTTTAGTAACCACATTTTATTGGCTTGTTATACGCCTCCCTGCACAACCCGGTTGATGTACGTTTCATTAGGTATCTCTATCACTTTTCATCAGGTATCTACATCGGTTATACCATTATTTCCGAGTAGCAGTACCTAGTTCACTTCCTAGTTTAATCGATCGACAGACAAGGACACAGAGAGATAGCCGCCACGTTGAGATGCTTGGGTCCTGGTGCGAATGCGACGCCCCTTTCTTCGCGCTCCAGCCCTCTGGACGGCAGAACTTTGGCAGAGTGGTACAAAATTTCGGTAAGGTGGTACAGAAGTCCCGAAACAGGTTGGCACCGGAACAGGGAATTGGAAGAGCTGCGCTAACACCGCCTCCATCCGTCCCTACGGTGTACCCTAGGTCTTCCTCCGCGGTACTCGTTCGTTACAGTACATGATGAGTAATTGCTCTCAAAAGCAGGGTTGCAAAGCTACAATCGCATCACAAGTACAGTGAAAAGTGCAGATCCCCTGCCAACTCTGATGATGTGCGGTAAAGAGGGAAAAACTATCCTGCAGCTATCTTATTTAGCGTTCGCCCAATCAGATGACAAGGTAGTTAGCACTGAAGCACACTTCTGCTTTGGAGCGCGCTATCAGCAACCACTGAATGTATTTGCGTTTTGATTACTATGTATACTTAAACACACTTAAAATTCAAGTTTATGAAATGAGCATTCAAATGGGAAGATGCGGAGATCTAATTCGTAGTCAGGGTTCTACAGTTCTCAAAAGTAGTTTGAAGCGAGAGCGCACCAGTAAAACAGTAAAGTGACTTAATCGGTGGGACATCCTCATCCCTTTCCATAACATCTCTGGTTACAAGGATAGCTATGGAAAAATCGATTTCCATGATATATTTGGCGCCCCTCAATAATAATACGCGAGCGCATGGATGGCTTGTAAAGTAGGGTGAGGTTAAATCACCTTGGCAGCACTCTCCATACAAACTGTATGGGGAGAGTCATACTGGTAA